GATGTCTTTAGTCTTCAGTGTTTCCTCTAGAAGAACTCTCTCTGATACATTTTCAATGTCATCTTCTATGCACATAAAATACACATGAAAACAGTTTGTCAATTTTTTAATTTAAAATAAATTGACAAAGGGGTCCCTGCTTGATTTTCAAATAAGTGTTTAATGACGTATATTTGTAATTAGAAAATTATATATATATATGTATAAAACACCAAAAAACTAAACCCGTTGCCGTTGAGTCGATTCTGACTCATAGTGACCCTATAGGACTGAGTAGAACTGCCCCATAGAGTTTCCAAGGAACACCTATTGGATTCGAACTGCCAACATTTTGGTTAGCAGCTGTAGCTCTTAACCACTCCTCCTCCTGTATATATGTATGTATATATAAAGAGAGACACACACACACAGGTAAACACAGACATACCTCATTTTATTGCACTTGGCTTTATTGCGCTTCACAGATATCACATTTTTTACAAATTGAAGGTTACTGAATATTTTGAGCCCACTGTTGAGACCTACTGCTCAGAAAAAAGATTCCTTTCAAAATATTACTGCTCACTGACAATGCACCTGGTCACCCAAGAGCTCTGATGGAGATGTACAAAGAGATTAATGCTGTTTTCATGCCTGCTAAGACAACATCCATTTTTCAACCCATGGATCGAGGAATAATTTCAACTTTCAAGTCTTATTATTCAAGAAATACGTTTTGCAAGACTACAGCTGCCGTATATAGTGATTCCTCTGATGGATTGGGGCAAAGTAAATTGAAAGCCTTCTGGGAAGGATTCACCATTCTCGATGCCATTAAGAGCACTCATGATTCATGGGAAGCGGTCAAAATATTAACATTAACAGGAGTTGGAAGAAGTTGACTCCAACTCTCATAGATGACTTCAGCGGAGAAAGTAACTGCGGATGTGGTGGAAATAGCAAGAGAACTAGAATTAGAAGTGGAGCCTGAAGATGTGACTGAATTCCTACAATCTCATGATAAAACTTGAATGGATGAGGAGTTGCTTCTTATGGGTGAGCAAAGAAAGTGGTTTCTTGAGATGGAATCTACTCCTGGTGAAGATGCTGTGAACATTGTTGAAATGACAACAAAGGATTTAAAATATTACATAAGCTTGGTAAAGCAGTGGCAGGGTTTGAGAGGATTGACTCCAATATTGAAAGAAGTTCTACTGTGGGTAAAATGCTATCAAACAGCATCACATGCTACAGAAAAATCTTTCATGAAAGGAAGAGTCAATCAATGTGGCAAACTTCATTGTTGTTTTATTTTAAGAAATTGCAACAGCCACCCCAACCTTCAGCAACCACCACCCTGATCAGTCAGCAGCTATCAACATCAAGGCAAGACTCTCTACCAGGAAAAAGATTACTACTCACTGAAGCCTCAGATGATGGTTAACATTTTTTAGAATGAAGTCTTTTTTAATTAAGATATGTACATTTTTTAGACATAATGCTATTGCACACTTAATAGATTACAGTATAGTGTAAACATAACTTTTCTATACACTGAGAAACCAAAAATTTTGTGTGACTTTCTTTATTGCACACTTTATTTTCGCTTTATTGCAATGGTCTGGAACCAAACCTGCAATATCTCTGAGATATCCTGTATATATATATATATATATATATATATATATATATATGATGTTAAAGAATCTTCTGGACTTATCTTTTACCTTGAAGAAATTTGTAATTAAAATACCATAAGTAATTTAAATGTAGTTAAACTACCATAAGGTTGTTGTTAAAATTTTGTTTTTGGTGGAAGTTCAAGTAACATTTACTTGTTTAAAATCTGATCATCTTAAGAAAACTCTCATTAGGTGAGCAGAATTGCAGAAGAGGGATGAAAGCAATGTGTGAATTATATGATGTTTACTTATTTCTTAAATACTTAAAGTATTTTTAAAGATAAATGTTATCAAGTGGGCTCTTCTTAAAGATCAAGGTGAATGAAGTAAACACATAGATTTTTACCTAATATTTCAGATTGTCTCTTACAAAACCATCTCCCTGTCCAAGTTAGGAAAGCAGAGAGCAGACAGATATAGGATCATACAAGATACAACCAATGCCATTTAATATTGGGTAGTTTTCAGAAAACCTTCTGTTTGAGTTCTTAATATTTCTGAACAACACACTGTTGTGTGCTGTCAAGTTGATTCTGTCTCATAGCGACCCTACCGGACAGAATAGAACTGCCCTATAGGGTTTGTGGTTAAGAGCTTGGCTGCTAACCAAAAGGTCATTAGTTGGAATCTACCAGCCACTCCTTGGAAATCCTATGGAGCAGTTCTACTCTGTCTGAGAGAGTTACTATTAGTCGGAATTGACTTGATGGCAAAGGGAATAACACACTGGTAAATATTAACGTACCAATGAACTAAAAACAGCAGATAATTCACATATCTTTTGATCAATTGTACTAAATTTTTGGTAATATGATTTTCAGTTTTCACAGGAATTTTAACTGAAAACATGAAGTACTATTGTCTTACCATGAATATCGCTTTTTTTCGGACTATGTTTTGAAGCTCATATTTGAAAGCTCTGCTCTAATCTAAATATCATTGCTTTGCTGAATATCTTCCAAAGTACTCTTTGATATATTTTCCACCATTGTCTCTATTCAGATACAGCAGATAGTATAAAACTATACTTCAGTATTATCATCTTTAAAATGAAGAAAATGAACCTTAAATCATAGAGTCATTGTAAGGATTTAAAAAAAAATGTTTTGTGCCTTACACATAGTGTTTAGTAAGCATTTGGTATTAAAATTATTTAAATTGTTGATACCTATGTTGATAAGTTATCATTAGATAATTGGTAAGAAGTAATAGTGTTTCTATTAATGCATTTTTTCTTTGATAAGAGGCTGTAGTTATCAGAAACTCCTAGGGACATAAGGTATACACAAGATTCTTTGTGACTTCATCTCTCACATCTCATTACTGGTGTTTAATAGCATTTGATTACTGTATAGAGTTTCTACATATTATACCTCAGTTGGCCCTCATAAATAAGGGGACCATAGATGGAGAAGCTGTATTCCAGACTTTGAGACTGAATTAAATGGTTATCTTGGAGAATAAAATGGAGTGATCTTTGGAATCAAACCAATCTAGGTTTGAATTATAGGTATTTTATGTTTGAGCTGTGTAACTCAGGGCATATTACTTAACTATATAGTTCCTCAATTTCTTCATTTCTGAAGTGTATATAAATTTTAATATATACCAGAGATGGCATATATGAGGATTAATTATGACCAAATCAATTAATGTATACGATAGCATCTGTCAGAGTGCTTAGCATATTATACAGGTAGTCCCTAACTTATGACAGGGTTCCGATCTGTTGACTACTCCATCATAAGTCAGTTCTGACTCAAGTTGAATACCTCTTTTTTTTTTTAGTTTTCATTATTATTGCCTTTTATTATCAGTATCTTTATAAATCTAATCTTTATTTGTCTTTGTGGGTTAGAAACATTACATCTGAGAATGATAACATCAGCAAATTAGGCACTGCAACATTGTATGTAGTACACATTACTAACGATAAGATGTAGTCCAAAAAAAAACAAAACAAAACAGATGGTTGTAAGTGCACTTTGTTGTAACTCAAATATGTCACAAGTCGGGGACTACCTGTAGTTACTTTACGATGCTTAGTTTTTCCTGTTTTATGTGTGTGAGTGTGTGTGTGTTCTTTGAAGTAAATTGTTACATCTCTTCTTCATTGCTGAATTTATCTCCTAGCTTTGTGATTATTTTTACATGTATTTCTTTTGTTATCTCACCATTTTATTATGTAACTTTAAACATACAGCAAAATTGAAGGAATTTTACAGTGAACACCCATATACACACTATCTATGTTATCCTGTTAGTATATTACCATGCTTGCTTTAGGGTCCCTGGATGTAATGGAGAATTTCAATAGTAAATTGGAATCTATAAAAAGAACCCTTGATTGCACAAAACAAGATTAGTGAACTCAAAGACAAGTCAGTGAGAAATATCCAAACTCAAGCACTAAGAGAAAAAAGAATTAAAAGCACAGAAGAGAACATATGAGATATATAGGATATAAACTGTGTGTATATATTCCTATAGGATATATATAATAATAATCCCGGAAGGAGAGAAAAGAGATCATGGGGAAGGGGGACTTTTGAAGAGTTAATGGCTAAGAGTTTTCCAAAACTGAAGAAAGACATAATCCCACATATATAAGGAACTCCAAACCAAATAAATATAAATCCACAATCTTCTTACGGCAACTTAAAATCAAATTATTGAAAACCAAAGGTAAGTGTAATCTTAAAAGTAGTCAGAGACAAGGGGCACATACCCTTCAAAGAAGCAAGAATATAAGATTGCTGAGTTTTCAGAAGAAAGTATGGAAACCAGAAGACAAAGGAATGATGTATTTCAAGTGGCTAAAAATAAAGAAACTGCCAATCTAGATGTTATGGATTGAACTGTGTCCCCCTAAAGTGTGTGTCAACTTGGCTAGGCTATGATTCCCAGTATTGCGCGTTGTCCTCCATTTTGTGATCTGATGTAAATATCATCCTATGTGTTGTAAATCATAACCTCTATGATGTTAATGAGGCAGGATTAGAGGCAGTTATATTAATGAGGCAAGACTCAATCTAGAGGATTAGGTTGTATCTTGAGTTAATAATCTCTTTTGAGATATAAGAGAGAAGCTAGCAGAGAGGAGAGGGATCTCATGAGAATGATGTGGCAATCTGATTCTGTAAAGATTACAGCCTCAGAAACCCTATGGGGCAGTTCTGCTCTGTCCTATAGGGTCACTATGAGTCAGAATCAACTCAACGGTATGTATGTGAGTAATTACATTAACTAAACATTAAATAAACAGTTCATTTAAAAAGCAAAGATTGTTACAGTGTATAAAGAAAATCTCATCACGTGTTTAAAAAAATAACATGATTAGTGCTCTCTTCCGCAGCACATATACTAAAACTGGAATGATATAGAGAAGATTAGCATGGCCCCTGCACAGGGATGACATACAAATTCGTGAAGTGTTCCATATTTTTAAACCATTCCTGAAGCCCAGTTTTCAGACAAAGACTAGACAGGTGATAAAACAAAAAATAACACATGTCAAAAAAACCAAACCCATTGCTGTCCAGTCGATTCCGACTCATAGCAACCCTATAGTACAGTAATTGAATTTAAGAGGCATAAGCTCAAAATGGCTGGAGAGGAAATGATAGCAAACCAACGAAGTAACAGAACCTTGAAACCTGGAAACCAGATAAAAGAGTTGTAATTGATTTGGAAGACTAGAGAAAGATGAAATCTTTGCCTGTAAAATGGGTCAGTTTATGTCACGGTACCCCAGAAAGACTTGGGAACTAGAGGTACCAGGTACCCCTAAAGGTAGTATGTGTGATAGGACTGAAAATGAAGGACTGATTTCAAAGTGTGTAAAATAAAAAGAAAGAATCTAGATCTAACTTCCCTCCTCCCACACCATGGCCAGAGGATTGGAGATTTGTAGATGGCTGAACCAGATTTTCACTGGTCTGGGAAACTCCAAACAGAGTTGCATGTGGGATTTGAGACAATATCCTGAAAACAGGATTTATGTGAAAGGAAACTTACCCAATGAGGAGATCCTACCTGACTCCCCTACCCTTACACCAAGTTCCTTTTCTTACTTGGTGTCAAGTATACCGACAGCCAGGATTATACCACCAGGCAGGAGATTAGAAGTAATCTCCCTGAGAAAACTGGTTTAAGAAAAATGAACTACAGATACTCGTGCTTTTGGGTCCCCCCATTAAATGGTTTGGACCCTGCTTATTGCCCTGTGGCAATATGTGTCAACAAGCCTCCACCCAAGCAGGCCAACAAAGATTACATTCAGGCTTTCATTGTTTCATTATAACTACCGACAAGCAGACACTTGAGGAAATAGTAAAACAATGCCAGCAGAACAAGGCAATTATTATTACTCCAAGAAAATAAAGTTTTAAACATAAAAATGTAATCATAACAGTTTACATGGCTAGGCTATGGACAACAAAAATGTAAACAATGTATTATTTAACAACAACGATCAAAAAGAATATTGGGAAAAAAGGAGAAGTATATGTATATTTTAGGTGTGTGTTATGGTAGTAGGGAGAATCAGAAGATTAAAAAAACTTTAATTTTCATAGCAAGCAGTCAGTACATAAAATCCAAAATGGTAAAATCAAGAAATAGCATAATAAGCTTGTTATTTAAGAAATAACAAAAAAGTTGAAAGCATTTGTCTCAGGGAGCAGAAATTAGAATTATAAAAGGATGCGGGTAAATAAATAAAGAATTATGGAGGAGGGAAGTTCTGTTTTTCATTTTCAACTTAGCAGTACTACTTCATATGTGTTTTGTACATGTATTTAGAAAAAAAACAAACCTGTTGCCATCAAGTCAATTCTGGCTCACAGTGACCCTGTAGGACAGACTGGAACTGCTCCATAGGGTTTCCAAAAAGTGGCCGGTGTATTCAAACTGCTGACCTTTTGGTTAGCAGCCAAGCTCTTGAACACTGCACCACTAAGGCTACTTTGATAAAATAAAAACTAAATTTAAAACAAAAAAGAATCAGCTGAAATATATTTAAGAGAATTCTATAGAAGTTTCAGTTAAGAGATGAAAAATATATTTTAAGCATTAAGACATGAAGGGTAGAAGACTACATCTCTATTTACAGATATTTAGGAAGAGATCTAGAAAGAAATCAAACTATGGAAAAGAGGAAATTGTTACCCAAATAGGGTCTGTGCCCTGGAGCAGTGGAGCTGATGAAACACACTCCAAATCAGAGGCAGTGAGAAAGTTTTAATTTAGGCAGTGTATACCACCAGGGATCCAACAGCAACACAGGCTATCCTTAGAGTGTCCCAAAAGGCATTTTTACATTAGCACTTATATATGATTTTTACGAAGGTTAGAAGTGTTGTTATTCACTCCAAGATAATTACAAGAGACTGTCTATCATACTGAAGAGATAGGGAACCAGACATTTCCTAAAGATATACATCTCTGACATCTGGGCTCTAATCTTCCTGTGGGGGATCTTAAGTCATAAAACAGAGTCATTAACAAAGGTATGCACAAAATAAAGCCATTAACAGAGGTATTCGAAAAGGGAGAAGGCAAAGAAAAAAAAAGGTTCATTATAGGTTCATTATAGCATTAGTTATGTCAAGCTCTCAGTCGCCCATTCTGAAAATGAGAAAACACGCTGGAGAGTATTAGGGTCACAGAAATATTATAAAAAATATGACCAAAAATTTCCTGGAAATAAAGATTTGATATAAGACCTCAGAATAAAAGGTATCATGGAACATAATAAGCAGGAAGAGAGAAGACAAGCAATTTGGACATAGAATAACAAAATTTAAGAATATCAAAGACAGAGAAAAATTTAAAAACAGCAAAGAAATAAAGATCAAAAACTACAAAGGAACAAAAACAAGATCAACAGCAGATTTATTGTCAACAGTGGGTATAAGGAGACAATAGAGCAAAATTTTCAACTTTGAAGGAAAAACTACAAATTTAGAATTTTATGTCTACCTATGTTATCATTATTTTAAACATGGGTATATGAAATCTTTCTGGGCATACAGGGTATGGTAGGCAGAATTCTAAATCTCCCTCCTCCTCCTAACCCGTTTTCTGTTCCCTGGTTATTTAATCAAATGTTAATCTAGCCACTGCTGTGAAGAGATTTTGCAGATTAATTAAAATCACATGATTCCTTTGGTAGCTCTGGTGGCACAGTGGTTAAGTGCTTGGCTGCTAAGGAAAGGTTGATGATTCCAACTTCTCTGGGAAAGATGTAGCAGTCTGCTTCCATAAAGATCACAGCCTTGGAAACCCTATGAGACAGTCTACTCTCTTCTATAGGGTCGCTATGAGTTGGAATCGACTCGACGGCAATGGGTTTTGGTTTTTTTTTATGATTCCTTTAAAAGCAGAGCATTTTCTCTGGCAGTCAGTAGAAGGGAAAATCAGATTTGACGTGCAATAAGGATTCAGTGCATTCACCCATTTGGTGAAATGTAACTTCATTTTGACAGTTGTCTAGTGAAAGCGCAGGCTCACCCCTTTGGGAAGGAGATGATGTGAGAAGGAATGCTAGTGGACTCTAGGAGCAGAGAGTGGTGCCCTGCTGACAGACAGCAAGGAAATGCAGATTTCAGAACGACAGCTGCAAGGAACTGGATTCTGCCCACAACATGAATGAGCCTGGAACGGTATTCTTCCCCGGAGCCTTTATATATGAGCACAGCTTGGCCAATACCTTGACTTAAGCCTTGTAAAAACCCAAAGCAGGGAACCTCTGACCTATACAGAACAATGAGACAATAAATGACTGTTGTTTTAACCTGCTAAATTTGTGACACTTTGTTACATAGCAATAAACGACTAATATACAAGGTCTTGCCAAAGGGGATAAGGCTAGATATTAGATACTGGTAAAATGAATTTAAAATATCTAATATTCAAAACTACATTTTCATCTAACAATATGAACTTGAAAAAGTGATAGAATTGCAAGAAAAAAGATAAATAGATAAATCAACATTATAGTTAGATTTTAATATCTTCTTTTTGGCAAATGATTAAACTGAGGAAAAATACTGAAAGATGTAGAAGAACTGAATAACATGATCAACAAGCTTGAACACACACATATATAGATTCCTATGCAATTAATAAGGAGCCCTGGTGGCACAATGTTTAAGCGCTTGGGTGCTAACCAGAAGGTTGGCAGTTTCAACCGACCAGCAGCTCTATGGGAGAAAAGGCCTGGTGACCTACTCCCATAGAGATTTTTTTAAAAACCTGTTGCAGTCGAGTCGATTCCAACTCATAGCCCTATGAGGCAGTTCTACTCTGTCCTATAGGGTCACTGTGAGCTGGTATCAACTCAACGGCAAACAGCAACATTCAACCAATAGAGAATACATATTCTTTTTTTTTAGGTTACAAAGAATATTTATAAAAATCTACCATGTGGTAAACAACAAAGAAATCCTCGATGAATTCCAGTGATCCAACATCATTTAGAATGTTTTTTGAGAAAAATGAAATACAACTAGAAATCAATAGTACTACATAACTTTTTAAAAATTCATATGTATTAAATTCCTAATGGTGCTGTAACAAATCACCACAAATTGAGTGGCTTAAAACCATAGAAATTTGTTCTTTCACAGTTCTAGAGACTGAAAGTCCAAATCAGGCTGTTGGCAATGTTTCTGCTAAGATAGTTGACTGGACCCATAAGTCACATGCCTAATCCCTTTATCAAAGGTTGTCCAGCCACACCCTTGATGTTCTCTCCAGAGCATAGTTTCTTATTTTCTACATTATGGATAGTCATTCCTCAATTTGTCTCTCCTCTCACATTTTACTCTAAACAGCAAGGAGAAACCAGCCTACATTTTCCACACTTTGCTTAGAAATCTCAGCTAAATATCCAAGTTCATTGCTTAAAATTCTACTTTCCACAAAACAGTAGCAAATAATTCAGCAAAGTTCTCTGCCACTTTATAGAAAGGACTACCTTCCCTCCAGTTTCCAGGAGCGTGTCCCTCATTTCCATGCTCATCATAAGCACCTTTAACATTCACATTTCTAGCAATGCTCTGTTCATGATAATATATGTATTTTAGACAATGGAAACTTTCTCTACAGCTCTCCTCACTTCTATCTGAGCCCTCACCAGAATCACCTTTAACATCCATACTTCTACCAACAGTCTCTTCAAGACAGTCTAGGCTTTTTCTGTTAAGCACCTCAAAATTCTTCCAGCCTCTATCCATTACCAATTCCAAAGCCACTTTCACATTTTTAGGTATTTGTACAGCAGTATCCCACTTTCCTTTACCAAAATCTGTATCAGCAAGGGTTCTCCAGAGAAACAGAACCAATAGGATGTGTATATGTATGTGTATATACACATATCTTCATTTTCTCTATCTTTACCTATCTATATATATATAGAGAGAGACAGAAAGATTTATTTTAA